TTCATTTGATTTGATGTATGACATTTATGACATGCATGACGTTGGTGACAGTGCGTTCGGTGCTGAAACTGGTTAGAGACGAGTGGCTCAAACCTATTAATTTATTCGATTGATGGCTGATGACCTTGGGCGGGCGTGAGAAGTGGAAGGGGGTAGAGTGTCAATTGTCAATGTCGTTTATCCAAATGCGGGAAAACATGAAAATAATTAGTTTCAGTTAGGATTGTTCTTGGTGGTTATAAGAGTAGAAAGTGAGAATGAAAGTGAAGTGCAAGGAGTGTGCTAGTGAATTCAGTTATGCGAAAAACTTATATGCTCACCAAAGGAAGTTCCACAATGATAAATTATCAACATGTATTACAAACATGTATTTAGAATCATTTCATAAAATTTTGAAACATATCTACTTAGAGGGTAAGAAAATAAAAAGACTGGATAAAACAATAAATGCAGTGCTGAAGGTAGCTCGGGATAGTTTGTTCAAAAGAATAATTAATATAACAAAAAACAAGAGGACCCACAAAATTCATCAAATTGAAGCTAGCCATAAGTCAAGTCTAGATATACCTGCTGATTCAATTGAAACAGTAGAGAAAAATAAGCATTGGTTGGTTTTGTCATCTTCAAACATTGCAGTACAATACCATGTTAACTTCCTACAAGAAACATGCTCTAATTTTTGTTTAGCTTGCACAACGTGCAAAATTTGTATCCATTCTTTCCAATGTTCATGTACTGATAATGCCATAAAATTGAATATATGTAAACATATTCATGCTTGTGCAAGAGAGTTCTTCATAAATAGCTGTTGCAATACAGAAGTACCCCAAAACTTTGAGCAACATAATGAGGTTTCAAAATTACTCAATATGTCAGAAAATGCTGCTCCAAATTCTTCAACGAATGAAAGCCATATGAAAAGGTTACAATTTGCTATTGGGTTGCTGAGTAACAAGGAGGAATTATCACCAGAAAACCATGTTTTACTTGGTAGAAAAATTGATAGTGTTATAAACTTTCTGAATGATAATGATTTTAAGCAAACAGAAAAAGTTAATGTCAAACAAAAAATTGAAAAACAAGTACGATTTTATTCTACCAAGTCAAAGAGAAAGAAAACTAGTCATATTCCTAAACCCTCAGTAATGGAAGAAGCTGTCATGTACAGGGTTATCCATCGAGAAGGCCCACCCCCATATTTTCCTTATACTTTCACTTAGAAAAAAAATAATATGCGGAAATTCAATGCCGCAATGAGACCTTTCTAAGGCATTCATCATATGTTATACAGGGTGATTAATAAGAGCGTGGCAAACCACAAATCAATATTTTTAAATGGAACACCCTGTTTTTTATATTTTTCTCGAGATCTGTGATCTTTTGCGATCACAAATATATAAATATACAGTATGTTATCTCTTACTGTTTTTTTCGTTAATTACAATTTTTGTGGTCCAGAACCAAAATTTGTGTGTGATAACATCAAAATAAATCAAGTAAGCTTTGAAACCGAAACTATTTGACATGTCGTGTACTCATGTTACCGTCACAAAAAAAGTTCGAAAACTTTTTAGTTATTTTGTGTGTCGTAATTTGTCGAAATGTTTACAATCGCAGAAAGATATGATATAATGTCTTTATACATAAAAAATAACAAAAACGCTTCAGAGGGTAAACAATTACAAAATTCATCAGGTATGCACGATTTTCGATGTTCTTCGAACATTATAGGAATTTCCTTCCGTGCGCTCCAATAGATAAAAAAAAATAACGGGAATCGAATACATTCTCAATCATGGATAACTCTATAGTTGCACGATAAAGATGCCATCCCACACAAAATGTTGTTCTGGGACCAGGAAAATTGTGATTAACGAAAAACAGTGAAAAATAACATACTGTATATTTATATATTTGTGATCGCAAAAGATCACAGATCTCGAAAAAAATATAAAAAACAGGGTGTTCCATTAAAAAAAATTGATTTGTGGTTTGCCACGCTCTTGGGAATCACCCTGTATAACCTCTGATGAATGCCGTAGAAAGGTCTCATTGCGGCATCAAATTTCCGCATATTATTTTTTTTTTCTAAGTGGAAGTATAACGGAAATATGGGGGTGGGCCTTCTCGATGGATAACCCTGTACAGCGACATTCTTAATGTACACAGTGGTTTCGACCACACTTATTAGACCCGCCCCTATAGACACTAATAATCAGAGCTATACAGGGTGTTTCATAAGGATTATTACCCTTTACCCAGATAGCACAATGTCATTCATAGAACGTTCATAGAATATTCCTCGGACTGTTTTAAATATTCTAAGAATGTTCCTATAGTATATTGGAGGAGAAGGAAGAAAATTAAAAAAGATTGCTCCGGTGGGATGTGAACCTACTACCTTGTGATTGAATTTTTACGAACCTGAAACCTTGGCCACTTCTCCATGAAGCTCATTGATTAATAAAATGGATAGCAAGATGACAATATTGAGTTAGTGGGATAATAATAATTGAGGCAAGAGAAAAATAAGTAGTGTCAAGGTAAACATTATGAATATTAATACAAAAATAGGAATATTAATATCATATATTTGAACGTTGTCAGAATATTCATAGAATATTCTGTGCTGTCTGGGTAGGATCAGCATTCAATTATGAAACACCCTGTATATTAGTTCGTTTTGACCTCATCTTCTGAACAGATTGACATATTCACATATCAGATCAAATCTGCATTCCTAGTATTACCATCCTCAACCAAAAATGGAATAACATAGAGGGTACCCTATTTAAAATAAAGAAGAAGTTAATGTGATATCAGTTTCATATTGAACATATGAATGTATAAATATATATTATTTCATTTTGATGTTGACTTTTTTAAAATCTACTAGGGGGTACTTGATAAGTGTCTCTATCTAATTTTTTATCTTGAAAATTGGACAATAATTATAACATAATATGTGTGTGCTTCTTTTTATTTTTCATTTGGAAAAAATAAACTTTCATTATGAATAATTTGATAGTTTTATTGCCCTATACCTTGCCTACACCTAGTTAATTCCCACTTCTCAAAAATAAATTAGGTATATATGAAAATCATCCACCTATGCATGTCCTTTTCATCATGGTTAATGGTCATCAGTTCATAGAAATAACTTATATTTAATTTATATTTAATTTAATTTTATCGTAAGGGCAATAGGGTCGTTCATAGAAATGCATTTAAGAAATACTTACGCATGCGCAGATACATGAAAATGGTTATATTCAGATTTACATATTGGTACAACTGATTCGAATCGACTAGGTTATGTTATGTATTATGATTATTCATCATTTCCTTCGCCGTTTTCGTTGTGTTTGGTTTATTGATTTTCCTGTGATTTTGTTTGTGCTTTTGATTTCATTTTGAGAAGTCTTGTACATTGTACATTTGGTACTTTGATTGACTTTGAAAGATGTCGCGAGTTAGACAAAAATCCAAAGCTATTGGAAAAAAACGCAAATTGGCGTTGTACACTTTTTTTCTGACCATTGTATCATCGGCTGCCATAACTTTCTTGGGCAGACCACGAAGATGGCAAGTCAGACCGATGAATCTACATCGTAAAGATTTGGGGCATTTTCAAAATTTGGTACAGTTCATAAAAACTCATGACAAGGAACAGTTTTATAAGTACACGAGGATGACTGATGTCCAATTCGATTCCTTGTTAGCCCTCATCGAACCTCGTTTGAAGAGAGCATACAAAGGAGCACTACACCCAGCAGAACGACTCTGTATTACTTTGCAGTAAGTTCACTTTTTCAATAAATCATATTCAAGTTTGTATTAACTTTTTATATTTCAATTGTAGTTACCTATCTGAAGGATGTTCAATGCAGCAATTGGCATGGGACTACTACATAGGAAAATCCACAGTTCACTATATTATCAAGGAAACTTGTGAAGTTTTATGGGAATGTTTGATGCCAATATATTTAAAACCACCTACCAGAGAAGATTTCGTTGAAATTGCAGATGGCTTCTACAAAAGGTGGAATATTCCTAATTGTATAGGAGCAGTAGATGGCAAGCATGTCTCAATACAGGCCCCAAAATTATCAGGAAGTGACTTTTTCAATTACAAGAAACATTTCAGGTACATTTGCTTTCTTTTTAATTTTATCAGTATGTTTTAAATGTTTTGTTCTAGTTTGGTATTGATGGCAAGCTGTGATAGTTACTATCGATTTACAATGGTGGATATTGGTGCAGCTGGTTCAAACCATGACAGCTATGTATTCAAAGAATCTGGCTTTGGATCTGCTGTCATGAATGGATCCATGGATTTACCTCCTGAGAGTTCTCTACCAGATAGCAATATAGTTTTGCCACATTTTCTTGTTGGAGATGAAGCCTTTCCATTACATGAAAATATAATGCGTCCCTATCCTGGGCGTTATTTAGGAGAAAGAAAAAATATTTTCAATTATCGTTTGTCTCGTGCTCGTAGAACCATAGAAAACACCTTTGGGATCTTGGTACAAAGATGGAGGATTTTGAGAAAACCGATAGTTGCTCAAATTGAGAATTGTGAAGCCATTGTAAAAGCAACAGTCATACTGCACAATTTTCTACAAAAAGAAGAATCTGACATTCCTGTTGCTGAAAGGCGGTATTGCCAGACTGGTTTCAATGACTATGTTGATGATGATGGGAATTTACATTATGGAACATGGAAAAATAGGAAACAACCATTACATGGGATCAGGCGACTAGGAAGCAATAACTCTTCCAGAACTGCAAAGACTGCAAGAGATCAGCTCACAGATTGGTTCCAAGCTGATGGTTCAGTGAGCTGGCAACTTGATAAAGTGCATGAGGGAGCTATCCCCGACAATTGAATGTTATATCGCCTCTCATTCAAATGTAAAGAATGATTTATTGCAATAATATAGAAATTTCAAAAGTATTTGCCACTGAATATACAGCTAAGTAAAAAAACCTAATGACTAATCGTCCTCTGTATATTTTTCCATCACCTCCAATAGTTCAATTTTTGCACGAGCTTTGACTTTCCTAGATTTAATATTTTGTAGTGAGAGCCCTAATGATTTTACAAATAATAAATCCTCATTATTTTCCTCGTCACTGTCTCCCTCAAAAATGTTTTTTAAATTGGTAAAGGCATTATCTATACTTTGTGCAAGTACTTGACGTGGATCTGTCTTCTTCTTTTTTCTTGCCTCTCTTCCTGGCGTCATTGCAGCTGCAGGTGCTGCTGTTGCTGCTGCTTGGCGATTTCTTTTTCGTATAGTAATGTTGGCGACAGGAGTAGTTACTGTTGGAGGTTCAGCAGATTCTTCATCAGCAGAATCTGCCATTATTTGTTCAGAACTCTCCTGTGATGAGAGCACGTCCTCATCAAGTCTGCTCTGTTCATCCTCGCAAGGTCTGCTCTGTTCATCCTCGCAAGGTCTGCTCTGCGCATCCTCATAAGGACTGCTCTCTTCTGAATTCCCTTCTTCAGGAGCAATTATGATGGTCTCCCAAAGATTTTCATTGCTAGTCCCACTATGCGAATTTTCTGAACCATTCTTTGGTATATTACCATGAGTCCTTGAAAAAATATAAAGATTAATTATAGTGCTCCCAAGAGTGAAGAAAAAATTCAAAGTCTCACCTTCTTTCTCTGACGTGATCTTCTAAGAATGATAGAGCTTCATAGAATCTCCAGGTTACTTTCGATCCAGATGATCCAGAAGGGGTAATTTTCAATTTCCTTTTTTCGGCTGCATATCTATTTCTTAGAGAATTCCATCTCTGTTTGGTATTTTCGACTGTGATAATGAAAAGAATATTTAGTTGATAATGTTAATATATGTGGTGTCCAAGATAAGGATGTCTATCACGGGGTACTTTCTCCAAAACGAACCGTCATACCTACGAAACATTTCTCAACGTTGTTTTATAGAGCTCAAAAAGTGTTAAGGAGAAAGTGTCTTTTGTTTGTCCTATACCACTTTACATAACGTTACAAAAAAATGTAAACGATCACCACTATAGGCATCCTTATCTTGGGCACAGTGTAGGTATATATCAGACAATCATGATTAGGGAACATATCATTCAGAATAATCTGAGAACATTATTCCTCCACTGTTTTCATAATTTTCTTTTTTCCTTTTAATTCAATCAATTTCATTACAGTATGTGTGTGTGATTTGAAACCGCAACACCCTGTTATTTCGAAACTCATTGTTGATACTAATGAAATTTCAGTAGGTATTCGAAAATCAGTCAATACATAATATATAAGGTTCAAAGAAACAGGGTGGATCAATTCTGTTTGAATATATTAATGTCAATACCTGTATCCTTCATGATTTTCGCAATGGTGCTCCAGGCGTTCTCTTTGGCAAGATGATTTTTGAATTTGATATGACTCTTATCATACAAAAATTCAAATTTCCGTACCAACTCTATCAAGGTAGAAGTTTCCTCGTCCATAGTAGCCACAAAGTATACAGGGTGTCCCTAGACCAGTGGGACAGTTGAATATCTCCTGAACCAATAGGAATTTTCGAAATATTATAATTCCACATCATATCGTATTATGAGTGCTAACTTCAGGAATGACTATATTTTCTACGAGGGGCACAAGAAAGGCTCACAAAGTCGAACATCAATTTTTTCAAATGGAACACCCTGTATTTTATTGCATTTTCATAATCTCCTTGAAGAGCTGAATTCAACGACCTACCACACTTGGGCTCTAGCGTGAATGATTTCCGAGATATAGGGTGTGGAAAATCGAGATTTTTCATTTTTGGAAATTTTTTGTGTCAAAACTATTCATTATTGGTTAAAACGGCTTACATGTCCATATCTAAACTTTTGATTTACTATTTACTCGTATTCAATTGAAACAAATACAGGGTGGTGTGGAATTCCGACTGAAACTGAGAATTCTACACCACCCTGTATTTGTTTAATTTAAATACGAGTAAATAGTAAATCAAAAGTTGAGATATGGACATGATATTGTAAGCCGTTCTGACCAATAATGAATAGTTTTGACACAAAAAATTCCCAAAAACTGAAAAATCTTGATTTTCCACACCCTATATCTCGGAAATCATTCACGCTAGAGCCCAAGTGTGGTAGGTCATTGAATTCAGCTCTTCAAGGAGATTATGAAAATGCAATAAAACACAGGGTATTCCATTTGAAAAAATTGATGTTCGATTTTGTGAGCCTTCCTTGCGCCCCTCGTATAAAATATAGTCATTCCTGAAGATAGCACTCATGATGCGATATGATGAGGAATTATAATATTTTGAAAATTCCCATTGGTGCAGAAGATATTTAACTGTCCCACTGGTCTAGGGACACCCTATATGGGCAGCTATATAAAGTAAGAAATATAATTATGTTTAGGGTATTTGGATATAAAGGTACCTTTTGGTGCCTTGTATAGTTATATTGACGTCAATAAATCACATAAATAAAGTTAAACAAAATGGAAGAAGAAAAATTACAATGAATGAATAAATGACTTACCTGGTAGGTGATAATAATAGCAGTGAAACTGAATTTAAGGAAATGGTTCGTCCGAATATGAAATTATAAATGAAGCACAATGATTTCAAACTGAATATACATTATTCTGACTAAACTTACCTTTTTATAGTGTCCTTGTTAATTATCCAACCCTTTCCACAACCCCTTAATCTTGAGCTCTCATAGGATTCTAATGAAATACCCATCAGCCCCTCGATCGGTAATCCCGAGGTTAATTCGCACCCGTCATTAACAAATGTAACCATTTTTTCTCTTGTCTAATTACAATATAATGGTTCAGTATGATATACCTACACCTATTTTTCAGATTTTCTCAACGGGTCATTTCAATTTCATTTCTACAGGGCTTTTCACGATGAGCGTTGATTAGACGTTTCTGGCAAACCAGACAACGGGTCAACCTGAAAATTTGACAGTATGCATAAATGAACATGATCTACACGCCTAAAATATTTTAGACGATGCGGCGTTGCCGCTTCTACTGTAAAGTAGCGGTTACTTTGATTTTTCAAATGGAACACCCTGTATATAATATCATTTTATGATTTCTTATCACTTCGTCAACAACTACATATAGTATGTCCCTATACCTATCTCTTACCGTTTGAGAGATATAAATTAATTTTGATTTTTTTTCCACCAAACATGTACTTTTATAAACGCTGATAATCTTGAACTCTCTGGTACTAAGACGATCAAATTCGGAATGGAGTGAAGTGATACCATAAGGATCCTCACTTCGGAGCCATATTTTTTTTGCCTCATACAGGGTCGTTAGAAAATGCGGATACTTTGTTCACATGAAAAAATGAGTGGAAGTCAATTTTTTCAAATGGAACACCCTGTATTTTTCCACATTTTTGAGCTCTACATCCAATTTTAGATTGACTTTGTTCAGATAATCCTATTTCGATTTCGAACCGTTTTCGAGATAAACTGTTTCAAACAGAAACTGACGTTGTTTCCTTGCATTCACCACTTATTTTCGAGATTTAACATCTATTTTATACTATGTAATATTTCTTTTAGATTTAGTTTTTCAACAGTCACCAATCAGTCAATTCGAAATTGATATGTTCCTTAGAAAAAGTTACAATTTGTATGCATTGAGGTATTGAGTGTCTCTACCGTACAACATTGCAAATTAGTATTTTTTCATAGTGTGCTTTGGAAATATAAATGATCCAATTTTGAAACGTCAAACGTTCGTTGGTGGTTTTGAATGATTGTGATACCAATTATAACCAAAAAATGTCAAGATTAGGTTACAGTAATGAAGATTTCTTGAATTTATTAATACTTTATGGTGAGTGCAATAGAATTGCAAGTAGAACATGCCGAGTATTTCATGAAAGATAACCACAACTTCCGAAGCCGAATAATAATGTGATAAACCGACTTCTAAAAAACTGTAGGTTGAATGGAACCTTTCATCCAAAAGTTATTCGTAGAAAGCCTGAAGTGGATGATGATGACAATAACATAACAGTTTTGGGATTTTTTTATGCATTTCCAAATGCTCCTCTACACGAAGCTGAAAGGGAGATAGGTATACCCTACGTGACAATTTATCGCATTCTTAATAAGCACAAATGGCATCCCTATAAATTTTACTGTGTCCAACATCTGAAAGAGACAGATTTGCCTCGTAGAGTGGAATTCTTTGAATGGTTACTTGTCAAGACTCAAGAGGATGAACATTTCCTAGACAATATCATATGGACAGAAAGGCCAAGTTTACAAAAAATGGAATTTTCAATAGACACAACAGTCATTATTGGTCGCCAGAAAATCCCCATGTCGTTCGCCAAAGGGGTTTTCAAGAAAGATGTCAATTTAATGTATTTTGTGCCATAACGAATGAGTCAATTTTTTATATCGAGTTTTATGATGATAACTTGAATGCTACAAAATATGAAGATTTACTGAGGAATGGAATTCAAATGATTTTAAATCATAGGCCAGGAAGAGAACGTGTATGGTACCAAATGGATGGTGCTCCACCCCATAATTCTCGTTCAGTAAGTGAAGCTTTAACTGAAATCTTCGAAGATAGATGGATTGGTAATAATGGACCTTTTCGTTGGCCTCCTAGAACACCAGATGGCAATCCACTAGATTATTTTGTATGAGGTTTCATCAAAAATATGGTTTACTCCGACCCAATGACAACAATGGAAGATATGAAATCGAGAATTAGAACTGCTTTCAATAGTTTAACTCCAGAATCAATCAGAATTGCTACACATGAAAATCTTCTGAAGAGATTACATGTTTGTTTAAGTAGAGGAGGAGATGTGTTCGAACATATTCTGAAATACAGTGATAATTGAATTGACTTACTAATTCATGAATTTATTTTCAGTTCGTGTGTCAGCGTTAATAAAACTATTTTTTGAAGAGAAGTTTCATTTGATGGTTGAAGAGTATTTTAATAATTATTTATTCATGGCATTATCTGTGACTGATGAAGGAACATCGAATGGAATCTGTTAAATTTCAAAAATAATTGATGAATTCAAGGGAACCACGTCAGTTTCTGTTTGAAACAGTTTATCTCGAAAACGGTTCGAAATCGAAATAGGATTATCTGAACAAAGTCAATCTAAAATTGGATGTAGAGCTCAAAAATGTGGAAAAATACAGGGTGTTCCATTTGAAAAAATTGACTTCCACTCATTTTTTCATGTGAACAAAGTATCCGCATTTTCTAACGACCCTGTATGAGGCAAAAAAAATATGGCTCCGAAGTGAGGATCCTTATGGTATCACTT